GAAGCCTCTACAGCATATGTGTCAAATTCAAGGCTCGCAAATTGTTTATCCACGGCCCACTGGATGATATTTAATTACAACTTTACTTAGAACTGGCCCACAGGCCACGGTCACGTGTGCACTGCTGTGACTTTGCGGGCTACCGTTGCATTGTGGGGAATGTAGTGTTGGTGCGGTTGTGTTGCATGCAACAACACTACATTCCTATGGGAAAAAATGATTGGGTTTTTCTTTTCTTTAAATTTTTTTTTTTGTGCTATGCATGTTTGGATTGTTTTGGTTTTTGCTTTTACCCCTTTAACAACCCAAGCTGAACTGAAGTCTGTTGTCCAAGGAGGCGGAGCACACTAATTGCGCTAAGCCACTGCTCAGCGCAGATGTCGGCAGAGGCTAATTGAAACCAAAATAGAAGGAGCCTGGATGGATACTGCAGGGTGTAGTCTGTAGTATATTTAATTCTTCGGTCCGTTTTGGTATTGCTCTGCTTTTTGTTTGATAAATTCCTTTTTTAAACAACCTCTCGTTATATTACGCTGCTGTGATTCATCAAAATTTTTTTACATTTCTTTGTACAAGATGTGAGTTTTCTTTGAAGGAATTATTGTTTTGTCTGTGTGCCATAGATTTTTTAAAATATTTTATTTTATTCATTCATTTTTTTTCAGTGGACTCTAAGAGCCATGAGAGAGAATACAACTCATTTGATTTTTTTCTTATTTTACTATTTCAAAGCAGTGATTGGTAGGATCATAGAGCAGCACAGTAATGCATTTTCATGTTTATAATGCATGCACTTTCATTTATTTATTCATCTTAATAAGTTTATTAATATAATAAAAGTTTATTAATGCTATTGATATTAATATTTTGTTTTTAAAAATGTTTAAGTCTTGGTTCAATTGGCTATGTTCATTTCAATATGTTTTAATAAATGTGTAACCAGTCCGTCCCCTCGGTTTGTAGAAAATTTGTTTTTTTGGCCCTCAGTGTATTTGACATCCCTGCTCTAGAGGTACACAGAAGCCTCTACAGGGGTAAATAACTACTTTGCCATACACTGTTGTGACTTTCATCATTATTGTTCTTTCAGACTGAAAGCTTTTGTTTGTAAAAAGACTGTTTTACCACGTTTCCTGCATGGTTGATGTTCTGGTGCCGCTGTAAATGGGCTGGCTTGATTGAGCTATTTGCCAGGATTTCTCTGAAAAAAGAAGCAGGGGGGCTTCGGCGGGTCTGCAGAAGTAGAGGTGTATCCATAAAAAACTATAATCTTCACTGTACCCCCGAGGTTTAGATTTGGTCCCTTTTTTTTTTTCCTTTCTTGGACTCCCCCGAACCCTCTGCTTAATCCAGAGGAAAAGGACGTTTTAGCCATTTATCCATGACTGCAGCTGCTTTGGTGACCTGTGACTGTACCTGTCTCTTCTCCCTCTCCAGAGCTTAGTGCAGGTGCACAACACAGATACCATGTCATGCAGATGTTGACTGCAACATTGTTTTAAAAATCTTCTTGACTTTATTTTGTATGTGGGTCCTTACACAACAAAACACATCCCAGTCCTATTTAATTATATGGGAAATAAAATATTACATTTTTTTTAATCACTGTCTTTTTATTGAAATTTTCTTTTTCTTTTGTACTTACAGTTTGTAAATAGAGGAATTTTTCCAACACAGACATAACATAGTATAAAGATAAATAAATAAATAAATAAATAAATAAATAAATAAATAAATAAATAAATAAATAAATAAATAAATAAAGTAATCCCATTTAGCCCACCCAGGTCACTAGGTCCACACCCTACATTCATACCCATAAACAAGTTTTGAAATGAGTCAAGAAAGGGCCTCCATGTTTCTTAAAATTTACCAGTTGAAGAGAACATCTAATTTGTTCTAGTTTCAAGCACGACATGAGGTCATATAACCACTGCTTGTGAGTTGGAGTTGGCAGTCTTAAACGTTTAGTTTTTCGGCACCATCTTTGCTTTTCTTGCTTCTTTCGATTACTTTCTCTGAAGCTGAAATCAACACAATCATCCCACATGTGTTCAGGTATTAAAAACTATAGAACGACACTGTCAAGTTTTGTTAAACA